ATTCCACTGGCTGGTGCAGTCTGTTTGTGCCATTTCGGGGTGCAGGAGACGGGGAACCCCCAACGTGCCGTCACGCTCGTTCAATGGGATTTCCCATCCCCAGTGGGCCCAGCAGCCCTGACTGCAGCCTCTTGATGCTGAAGCATCACCGCACTCTAGGTAACTATGGAAACCCCCTTCTCTGCCAGGGAGTGCGGCTCTGTGAGGAGCAGAGGGTAGGGATTCCCCCCAGCCCATGGGGGAGAAGGGTAACAACTGGCATCTAACAGCAGGCACCCCAAAGAGCTCTCTGAACCCGCCTGGTGGCACTGGATGCCTCGTAGCCACACCGAGTCCCCAGCAGAGCAGCCATGCACTGTCCAGCCATGGCCGGCGAGGAAGCGTCCTGCGGGGAATGTTGGACAGACGCTAACGCAGGTGAAGAAAGCGTTGGCACCCTCTCGCCAGGACATAGGCCCAACAGAGAGCCAGGCAGGATGGCCAGATCTCAGAGGAACGCCCCCACAGCCCCCACAGAGGAATCCAAGCCAAAGGCACATTCCCTCGCTGCGCCCGAACACACCATGGAGAGCTGCCTGACGGGACATTCGCTCCGGACGTGGTTACACAGTGTAGGACGCCTCCAAATGGTGCCATCGGAGCGAGTGGGGGGGATCCAGGCAAGCACCCCAGTGGCACATGTACCGCCGTGGGGAGATGTTCAAACACACACGGGACAGCCAGACACACACCCCTGCTCCCATGGACTTTCAATGGCTTTTATGGCACTTTGGCAAACCCCATCTGTTTAAGTCAGCCCCTAGCTGGGAAACTTCCCGCAGAGGTGGTCGCAAGGGCGCATCACCCACCACAAGGAGTAGGTGCCCAGGCCCCAGAGAGGGCGCTGCCATAGCAGATCCCAAGTCACTAACCCGCAATCTCAGGATGTGGGAAAGCTGAGAGCCGGATCCAGCAGCCACAGCTGTGCCGCATGGAGCTTGTAAACACACTGCACGCTACAGACCCGGGCACCAGGCAAAGCTCTCCGTCCACAACGCCACACACGGACAACACCATTGACACAGGCGCTCCTGTGTGTGTGCCACTGACACAAGGAGCCAAGGGCGCACACACAGACACACAAGCACTGTCATCACCCTGGGGGGTGGATGCTGACGTACGCTGGGTCCTCATGGCTTGGGGAGCTGCAGACTGTCACAGCATCAGGGAAGCCCTCCAGCCCTCCTGGGCCATACTCACACCACATGAACACAGCCCTTGGCTGATGCAGTCTGCAGCGTCACCCAACCCCTGTTCTGACAAGAAGTGAGGTCTGGGTCAATGTTCCCTCTAATTTTTTTCCATTTGTGTGCAGAATAAATTTTGTTATGTGCACCCAGGCTCGTGTGGATGTGCACCACCAGAAGAAACACACACTGCCGGCTGTGGGTGCTCAGCTAATCAGCTGGGGGCATTTGAATCTCTCCTGGGCAGCCGCCCAAGCATTCAGCCGACAGGGAACACAGGTTGTGCACTGCAGTATCTGCTGGGGTTCATGAATGTCTATCGGTGGCTCAGTATCATCCCTCGCACTGCCCTGCTCCACAAACACCAGGTTCCTTTGGTCTCCCAAGGCCCAGACGGCCTTCAAACTCACCTTTACCTCCGCTCCCACACTGGTCCACCCCAACACCTCTCCCCACGACGGACATGCCCAAAACGGCAAGCAGAGCCATGCTATCTCCAAGTGGTGTTCGCAACAACTACTCCATCCCTATCCTCCTCCTGCTCCAGGACACTCACGCCCACACAGCCAAACAATGAACAAAGAGCTCCTGGCAATTAAGACCGCTTTTGAAGAGAGGCATCGCTATCTAGAAGGGGCCCGGTATCCTGGCCAGGTGTACCCTAATCGTGAGAACCTTGAATATCTGAGCAGGGCCAAGGCCCCGAACCAGTGACTTCAGTCGGGTTTTTTTCTCTTTGATTCCATGACCTCTGACCATTCAGGAAAAATAGCAAGGCCAACACTTAGTCCTGGAAGGGCAAATATTACACTGACCTACAGGACTTGAACCCCAAACCTCCTGCAGCTTCAAGCCTCATAACTTTACAGGTGCAGCGTCCCGCCTACATAAAACGGTGGATAAATGTTCCACCCAGCCTCAACGGGGAAGTCCTGACTCCCTCCCGGCAGGTATTTTGGTGGCTTTAAAACTTGGTCCCTCAACTCATGTGTCTTCTGGCGGCCTCTCTTGTGGGCGACAGCGTAGGCCTACGCAATTTAACGCCTGTTCCAAAACGCTACACAGGAGTCCCACCTGTGGGCAACGGCGTAGGCCTGCGCAATGTAAACATCTGTTCCAAAACGCTACACAGGAGTCCCCTGGGATGCCAGCAACCCCTCCACACTCTGCCTGAGCCCTGGACAGTCACTGCCTCAGATTTTGTCATCGAACTCTAGTGGGTTCGTGACCTTCTGGACAACGGTGGATCGCCTCACAAAGATGGCTTCGTTCCTTGCTGTGGTCAACCCTCCTCCCAGGAAACTGCCTGGCTCTGAGTGAACCAATTGTCCTCCTCCATGGCCGACCCGGAGCACTGTCCCCAACCAGGCTGTGCAATTTATCTCCTGCTTCTGACGAGAAGTTCTCCAGATTTTGGGCAGCTGGTCCTGCCTCGCCTCCACCTCCCACCCTCGGAGAACTATCGAGCGGAGAGAGAACCAATCATCCTGGATCTGTAGTGTTGATGCCACATACATTTCCAGCCACACCACTGGCCCTTGCTCGTACGGCAGGCAGAGTGTGTGCACAATAATGCAGGGTACGATGCCACATACATTTCCATCCACACGACTGGCCCTTGCTCCTACGGCAGGCAGAGTGTGTGCACAATAAAGCAGGGTACATCTTTGGGGCCAAGCCCTTTTGTCTTCCGAACTGCATGCCCCACCCTTGATTCTCCCCAGAGCTACCTGCAACTTCCCACAACCCGGCAGCTCTGGGCTGGATACACAGATACAGCCATCCCAAGATGACCCAACCGTTGGCCTGGAGGACACTGAGAAGAGCGGCAAACACCAGACAGACTGGTGATGAGAGAAGGGGCCGGCCCTTTCGTTAGACCGGAAGCTACGGCTGGCAGTGGGAAATCAACACCGACAGGCTCTCTCATAAACAGGGCTGCCTGTTCCTTGGTCTCTGCCAAGTTCCCCAGCTAATTAACGCAGATTTTCCCCATGCTCTCTGCACACACGCAGGTTTCCATATTCCATTCCCAAAAGGCCGCAGTCAGGGCCAATTCCCTCCCCAGCAGCGTGAGCATATTGCACATGAGATCCGGGATGCCAGATCCGGGAGGGGGTGGCCTCTGTTATTCTGGGAACGGGGGAAGGCGACAGACCTGAAGAGCGCTCCTGCGACCAGGTGGAGACGGTCCATGCGCCTGACCTGATAAACGCCTCCCTCAAAACCACCCTGGAAAACCTGGCTCATGCCCTAGGAGCAGGCATGATGTGAGGGGGGAGCCCGGGCACCCGCACCATGCTCAGATGAGGACCCCGTCACCTGAATGGAGCTGTGCCGCACACAGTGCCCACCCCACAACGCTCCCGAGGGAAGGGGAGATGTCCAGCCCCACGGACTGGCTGGAAAATGATTTAAACCAGGAAACTGTCTGAGCAAGCAGAGGAATTTTTCTTGGCTGCTACTACGGACCCTGCCTACTTGGCTTAACAGCTGACCCCTGCCCTCCCGCCTGCCCCGGTGTCTGTCCTCCTTATCCCAGGTCCCTGCCTGTTCCCAGTTCCTGCCTTCCTGCCTCTCCAGGGCCCTGCTCCGAGACCCTGGCTTGATCCCTGATTGGCTCTGGCTTCCCTCTTGGCACCTGACTCTGCCTCCGGAGTGGGCTCTTGGGTTGAGTCCTGGTTCTGACACAGCTGACCCCTGCCCTCCCGCCTGCCCCGGTGTCTGTCCTCCTTATCCCAGGTCCCTGCCTGTTCCCAGTTCCTGCCTTCCTGCCTCTCCAGGGCCCTGCTCCGAGACCCTGGCTTGATCCCTGATTGGCTCTGGCTTCCCTCTTGGCACCTGACTCTGCCTCCGGAGTGGGCTCTTGGGTTGAGTCCTGGTTCTGACCCATTTCGGGCTCCATTCTAACCATGAGGCCTGGCTGCCCGCACCCTGCTCCCTCCAGCAAGGGCAGAGGGGCCGGGCACTTGGTGTTGGGCACCGCCGGCATTACCTTGTCAGGGAAGGGCTGCTGCAGCTGGCTGAGGTCCACGTCGCTGTCCCCGCCGGCGCCCTGTTCCTTGCCCGGCTTCTCGCACACATTGCTGCCCACTTTCACCATGGTGCTGGGAGGGAGAGGAGACTGGTCAGACAGTTGCTCAGATTGCAGAGACAGCCGCGGACAGGATCCCTCGGGGCTCTGTACTGCACTGGAAGGGGCAGCCCACCCCCACCTCCCCTCCCAGCTCCACGGCCCCAGTGTCTGACGTTGACACCCAGTGCCCCAAACTGCCTCTGCTATCTGGCTGGCCAGGAGGGCTGGGGCCACAGCACAGCAGCCTGGACCTCTGGTTGGCTAGGAAGAATCACGCGTCAGGGCTCAGGCTGAGGCTGGGTGGGGCTTTGTGCCATGGCGGGGAGGTTGCGGAAGGGGGCGGGGTTTTGGTGGAAGGGGTGGGGCCTCAGGCAAAAGGGGTGGGGCCGGAGAGCCCATCTTGGAGAGCAATAGTAGCCCACAGAAGTGGTCCAGTCAGAGTGACTGGGGCAGAGCAAACCCGCCACCCCTTGCTGCTGGCCACAGCTCCCCTGAAAAGAAACCGCAACACGGGCGGGACGAAAACAATTCCTTCCGCGACCCAACACCGCTGGCATGCTGAGAAGAATGTGCAACAGCGCCCCCTGGTGCTTCCTGCCATGCGCTACTGGTCCAACACCCAGGCCTGAGGATTTGGGAGAGCCTCCCAAAAATCTCTCTCAAAGCCATAAACACACACGGCACAGCCTGAGCGGCCCTGACCTAGCTAGAGCCAAACCCCAGCTTGGAACCCTGCATGTGCCGGGGTCTCACAACCCATCCGACAGCCTCAGACTTTCCTTCGCCACCAGCGGGGCTTGACACGGTTTGAAAGCGAAGGCTGAGATACCCGAGCTGGCAGGCCAAGCTTTCAGCTGGAGCGTAGCAGGTGCTCCGAGGGCAGGGCCAGCCCATGCAGAGAGGTGAATTCGCTGAGCGCACTGATGATCGGTCCGTGGGATGTGGGCCTGTCTAGCGAGTGGAAACTCTTCTGCGCTTAACTACAGAGGTTGCTCAGCCTCTTCCGGGATTCTTCATATACTCTGCTTGGGACTAGAGGGACCCGCCCCTTTCCATCTGAGGCCCCACCCCTTCTGCCTGAGGCCACGCCCCTTTCTGGGGGCCAGAGCCAGCCCACCACCGCCTATCAAAATGCGTGAAGTGGCCCCCCCTGCAAAAATGATTGCCCACCCCCGACGTGGGTGCTTTAAACAGGAGCTGTCAGATGCTGAACTCTGAACATCTGGCTCTGCCCCAGGTGCCTAGCTGTGGGTCTAAGCAATGGCTGACTTCCAGCCGGACTTCAGACATTCTGCTTTGGCTGCATTGTCAGCGTGGTTTTATGGCATTATTCAGAAATGGGAGCAGCAAAAAGGGTCCCCTCACCTCTGGGGTCGCGTGTGCTCCCTGCAACCCAGCCACGCACAGGGTCCCCCGCCGGGAGCAGGGACCCCTCATGAACCAGATAGCTCCGCTTCCAGAGGGTACCCTGCACCACCGGGAAACCTGCCCTCAGCCCACCTGCTCTTCCTGTTTCCGAGCTCTTTGTCACAACCCTCGCTCCTCCCTTGTACGCCGCAATTATAAACAGCCCCTGCCCCAAGTGACGGCTCCTGCCTTGGGCCCCTGCTCAAGCCTACAGCACAGGGAGGGCCGGGGTCGCCGGCGAGCGCCACCCAGAGAGTGAGACACGGGGATTTCCAGGGCCGATTCCTTAAACAGACAGAAAAACTCATCTGGTCAGTGTTTGGCGCCCTGCTCTCCTCGGAGCCGGGTGCGTTCGGGCCTGTGAATTCCCAGGCCAGGAGGAGTCGTGGTGATCACCTGGTTGCCCCCTCCCGTCAGCAGGCCGGATCAACACCAGAGCCGGACACAGCGTTCCAGGTGTGGCTGGACTGTCCAGGAGGCCTAACAGTGCTGTCGGCACAGGACTGGAACGTCGGCGAACACTGACTGCATCCCTGCGGTGTGACCGGACGTCACAGGTCACTAATGGTATTGCCAGGTGTGACGTCAGCATCAGAGAGCGTGGTCAGTGTTGTGGAGGTCAGAGACCACGGATACTGTTGTCAGGTGTGTCTGGACGGTCACAGAGCACTGACTGTTGTCAGGTGTGACGGGCGCATCCAAGTGCACTGACAGTGTTGTCAGGCTGTGACTGGGCTGTCGCAGAGCACTAACAGCGTCGTTGGGGTGTGACTCGACTGTCAGAGAGCACAGAAGGCTCTGTCAAGTTTGAGGGGAGTGGTGGAACACGCTGCCAGCACTGAGCTGGCATTTCCCTCCGGCTCCAAGGTGGAGGTGCAGCCAGGCAGCCTGTGCGCATCCAAGTGCACTGACAGTGTTGTCAGGCTGTGACTGGGCTGTCGCAGAGCACTAACAGCGTCGTTGGGGTGTGACTCGACTGTCAGAGAGCACAGAAGGCTCTGTCAAGTTTGAGGGGAGTGGTGGAACACGCTGCCAGCACTGAGCTGGCATTTCCCTCCGGCTCCAAGGTGGAGGTGCAGCCAGGCAGCCTGTGCACCGGCTCCGCCCCTCCAGCTCCCATTGGCTGCAGTTCTCAGCCAATGGGAGCTGCAGAGCCGGTGCTTGGGGTAGGACCAGAGCGCAAAGCCCTCCATGGCTGCACCTCAGATCAGGAGCAGAAGGGAAAGGCCGGACATTCTGGGAGCTTCCTGGAGCCAGGGCTGGTAGCGAACCTACCTAAGTCCCACGGCACTGCTGACAGGACTTTTAATGGCTGTGCTGACCGAAGCCACCAGGAAACTGACCCCTGTCGGCCCCCTGGCTGTGACAGAGCAGGTGGCTCAACAGAGCCCGCACCAGAGAGAGCCAGCAGCCTCCCGCTGTTCCCAGCACTGACAGCAAGTGTCAGGGTCTGGCGATGGGAACGACTAATCCCCAGCCACCCAGAAACCCCACTGATCAAGTGACACACCGTGGACACAAGCCGCTTGTCTCTGAGTCGAGTGCGTCCACGCTGGTGGCTGCAACAGCTTAACAACAGCAATTTAACCGTTCGGGGCAGCCTTTGGATGCAGACAATGGCCTTCCGGCACAGACGTGCTTTCGACGCCGAAGGTTAATCTGTGTCTCGCTGAGAGCAACTTAAACCAAGCAACTGAGCTCTCTCCTTTTACAACAGGTCCTGGCTTTCAAATTGCCCCTCAGCCCTGTTATGAACAGGCAGAGGGCAGAGACCAAATCTAAAATTACTCTGAAGTGAGGCAGCGCGAGACGAGTGCCCCAGGCTGTCCCAGGAATCTTCTCTCCGCGAAGGCAGAGCTGCTCGCTGACTGCAGAGCTTCCAGGCAAAAAGGAACCAGAACCAAAGGAAATCGATTTGGGAAGCTACCTCCTGCCTGAGGGTTTGGCATCTGCTCAACAAGGTGCAACCGGCTGCAGGATCAGAGCAGCCCGACACCACAGTCAAGCACCCCACATATAAGATGTTCCAGCTGACTGAATAGCCAGGCAGGGGAGCCACAGAGCTTTTTGCTCAATTCCAGGAGGGGTTTGCTCTGAATAGCATCAAGACCCCTTTTGGGTTTCTGTCTGAACAGCCTGTTTGCACAACCACTTGGCAAGGAGCTTTCATGTGCGAATAAAAGAGGTGAGCCCTTTGCATGGCCCCCACTTTCTTGGGGAGGAGGAGAAGAGGAAAGGCTGAAAAAATTCTTAGAAAGCAAATACATACTTGTTCTCTGTCCATCAGGAAGGAAGGACCTCAGCTATTTCAAAATCTGGGGTCCTCCTATAGAGCCAAGTATAAAACGATTTCACGTGCAAAACAGATTAGGAAAAGATCCAAATGGCCCTAGCATGTTCTACACACATTCCTAAAGCTTGAAATGATCAAAATGGGTCCACAAATCATTTTGTGCATGAGAAGGCCAAGCTTGTTCATTATTCTCTCAGTCAAACGAGCTTACGGTTTTCAAAGAGCAGAAACAACACAGTGCGACTTGGCCACGTCTATACTTACCGGCGGAGCAACGCTCCACAGGTTGATCTTCTGGCGTTTGATTTAGTGGGTCTAATAAAGACCCGTTCAATCGAATGCTGAGGGCACTCCCGTCATCGCCAGTACACCTACTCCTCTCGAGGAGGAAGGGAAGTCAGTGGGAGCTGGGGGGATGGCACCAAAGTTCGAATCAAGGTATGTTGATTCCAGCTTCTCTCGGAGTCGAGGCCATCGCACACAGCGTTGCAGAGAACAGCTAGCAGAGGACTGTGAGGATCCCTCAGAAATCAGGGTCAGCTTGTGAACAGCTCAAGAACAAAAAAGGGAGGACACATTCGTCACTGGTAACTCAGAGACGGGCAGCGCCTAAGGCCAGAAGTGGCCATGAGACCCCCCACAGAGGACAGAGCAGAGAACCTCAGCCCAGGAACCCTGCACAGAGCCCGTCACTCCCGAAGAGATGTGCAATCTTGACTGACCGACCCCAGTGAAGGGGAATCCACCCCGTCCCAGGACCGGCTCCTCCAGTGGTAGCTTCCCTCCCTGAGAAACACGGGCGTGGTTACTCTTGGCTAGGAACTGCAGAAGGACAGTGGCTAATGGAACAGCAGCTAATGGCCAAGTCCAGCCCAACTGCACTCATGGGAGGATCCCAGAAAGGCCTGGGGGGGTTCCTCTAAGTCACTCTCCCACTCCCCGGGCCTAGGCCCAGCCCAGGCGGATTTGGGGAGGATGGCAAAGGTGATCTGAGCAAGTCACTTGGGACCTCTCTGTGGACCAGGGATGGCTGGAGAAAGGTACATTCCAGCCACCCCCACCCCGGCCCTGGCCCCAGCCTGCTCTGTCAGGAGGGGCAGGGTAGCCTCCCCCCAGCAGAGCAGGCAGGCTCTGGAGTCTCCAGCCAACTCCGCAGTGGGGGAAGGAGGAGGAAGGGTTAACTTGGCCCTGGAGCACTCATCCTCTCTCCTGCAGCCCACAGGCCCAGCCAGCCGTCCCCAAGAGCCCAGTTCAATGCCGAGGGTGCCACCCAGACACCCTCCGTCCTGCGAGCCAGGGTTTGCAGGCCAGATCCCCACTAAGAAAAGAGCCAAGGAAAGATGGCCGGAGACAGGGGTCTCCAGTAGCTGCTGGTTCCCAGCACTGGGCCTATCCCCACGGAGTCCCCGGCTCCCTGCCGCGTCTGACCACACCCCACGTCCAGTGGACTGGCTCAGAAGCCTCTGGTCACTCCATCCCATGATGCAGAGAGCTATGTGGTCTGCCCAAAGCCCAGGAGGTGTCTGAGCCGGGCACAGCCTCTACATCCCACTCCCAGCCCAGGGAGGCTGCTGGGCAAGGCAGTGGCGAAGGGGGTCTCTTTGCACTGTGGACCCTTCTCTGGCTGGTGCAACTACTGGAGACCCCGTCTCCGGCCATCTTTCCTTGGCTCTTTTCTTAGTGAGCATGGGGCCTGCACACCCCGCCTTGCAGGACGGAGGGTCTCTGGGTTCCAGCTCCAGCTGGGGAACACACCAGGCTACTGATGGGCAGATGTTTCGTCTACCTCCCCCTTTCCCGCGCCGGCCGTTCTAAACAAGGGAGCGGAGACGAGAACTGGGGACATTTCCCCAGAGGTCGGGGTGCATGTGCAATTCTGCCGGCGAGTCAGCGAACGGAAGGTCAGGGAGGTGCCGTTTGAGTCCAAAAACTCTACCCAATCGCAATGTCAGAGTTCCCAGCCTCTGTGGCATGGCCTCCCCCTCCAGCTCCTCCAGCGGACGGAAATGCAGAGAATAGTACGATTGGAAGTGGGTCGAGATCGTTCCACGGGCCTTCTCCCAAACATGGCAACCCTAGAGCAGGGACGGAGATACATGGCTGAGAACATCTTTTAACCCCTCTCCCCCACCCACTTTTTAAATTGCCCGTTACCAGGGCCTTGTCACTCCAGCAGTCCTCGCAAAGTCAAATGGTGGTTCTCACCTAATGCCGCGCGGTTAATACTCAGCACAGGAGACCGGCTTCCTTTTTGTAAAGTGCCAGATTCGATGGAAGAAAGGAAGTCGCGCTTCCAGTGGATTTGCCATTATCAGCCAAAGAAGGAGCAGATCGGCTGTATGGATGCTCCACCTTGTGTGTTAAGCCTCCAGAGCTGTGGTTAAAACATCCACATCCCACCAGAAATTACTGGAGTGCGTCTGCCAATGGCGTGCACGTCGTTATGTAACATACGGGTTGTGCAACATCCCCGCCCTGATTGATTACAAACCCCTCGTTTTTACTTGGATCTTGATCGTTTTTAGGCAGCGGTGGGGAGACGAAAGGACGGAGGAGGCACTGAGCCTTTGGTGAAAACTGTCTCTGAGGAGCCGCGGTACCGCCAGCCTCGGTGACATCTTACCTGCTGTGCAAAGTGCACCTATGAGCTGGCACGTTTGGCAAAGTTGGGGAGGAAGAGCCGTGCACAGCAGGAAAAGCTGAAGCCACTGGGACAAGCGCTAGCTGTGGGCGAGATACAACGTCTGCCAAGAACTGCCCAACAACAAGGCCACTGGGCCCAGGCAGATGTGAAAGGCCCTCCACAGGGCTACTTCCCTGGCATGCCCATCCCCACCCTGCCCTGTCCCCAGAAAAGGCCCTGGGCAGAGGGGAGCTGGCCGAGGTGTTGGCACAATGAATGGCCATGGCTGAGAACACTTCCCTGATGCGACGGGCTCTAGGCAGAGCCTTGGGATCTGCCTGCCGATGGCCAGCACCATGGCACATTGAGGGGATGGGGTGCCTGGTGGCAGGGCCTCACAGCTCTGAACGCTACAAGCAGCTTCCAAAGCCCCTAGGGACAATCTGGCATCTGGGGCCGGCCCCAGTGTCCTGAGGCACCAGGCTGCCTGCAAAGAAACCAACAGGATCTCTGGAGCCCAGGCCTGAGCGACCCACCAGGGGGTCACATAGCTCAGCTATGCACACACGTGGAGTGTTCGCCCTGCTGGGGCGTCCCAGAGCATCACAGCCACCACTCTGCACAGAACAGACCTGTGACAAAGGCTGGCTCTGGTGGTGCCCAGAGGCCAGGGGTCTGGCTGGCCAGGCAGCGATGCCCCATTATCCTGGAGCAGAGAGCCTCTGGCCAGGCCCCAGGCCTTTCCAAAACTGCCTGACTACATCAAAGGTTTGGGGACCTGCAGGTGACAGCTTTCCTCCGGAGGCCAGACAGGCGGTAAGGCCGGGGGAAGGGTGACGGGCCCAAGCCTGCGAACAGGGCACAGAACAGGGCGGCTCTGGGGGCCCAGACAGGCGGTTAGATGGCTCCTTTTCCATGCACCTGCCACAGTGCCGGCTCCCCCCCCCCCCCCCCCCCCCACCCCCCCCCGCCCCATAGCACCACGTAC